TATGGCAAATCAGACTCTTGCAGGCCGAGGGAAAGAAAGCTATGTCACACACGGAGATGGGGTGCTCCCAAGGGGCTGTGGGTCTAGGTGGACCGTCTGCCCAGCTTGCACGCACTCCTGCTGGTGAGGCCCCAGACATCCTGCCAAAGTGTCTGAGCAAGCACTCTGGCCACATGCTGAGGGAGGGACAGGTGGGGCTGTCTCCCATAGGCTACCTGAAGGTGGGTGGGGCAGCCTGCGGGACAGTGGGGCAGCTGTGGGCTCCCAGCCTGGCCCCTGGGAACCATGGGGGCACAGAGACAAGCACATGGCTACGGAATGCAGGGTGACCCAAGGACAAGCGAGTTGCGGGGGTCTCTATTGTGACCATGCAGAACTGATCGCTGTCTGCCACGCCACCCGCCTTATGTTCCCAAGGAGAACAGCCGGGCTGGCGACCGGCATCCAGGCCATAACTGCAAATCTATGCTAGGTAGGGTCTCCCTTCTGTGTATTCAAGTGTTCTCGACTTAGATTTTTAACTATTTAAAAAAATGCACTGAGTTTGGGTTAAAAACCAATCACCAAAATAGATTTCAACACAGCTCTAAAGCCGAGGGTGCCCGGCTCTTCCAACACAGCGACTCCTGGAGGCCAGGTGCCCGCAGGCCTACAACCCCTCTCAGCACTGAAGAGGGAGTTGACTTTTCTTTTTACGATCAAAAAGCTGAGTAATATTGCATAGGACTACCAGAAACTGCCTCATTGGAAACAAAAACTATTTACATTAAATAAAAAGCCTGGCCGCAGGCTGCGTCTGCCACATTTACAGCACGGTGCGATGCACATGGTGACCAAACCACCGAGGCAGCTTCTGGCACTCACACCACGAGCCGCATGTTTGCCACATGAGAGTAAAGCAGAGGGTGAGAGGAGTGAGAGGGAGGGGGGTCGCATTCACTTCTGGTTCCGGAGCTGATTGGACAGCCAGTCCAGTCCTTCATAGAGCCCGTCCCCGCTGGTGGCGCAGGTGGCCTGAATGTACCAGTTCCTGTGGCGGAGCAAGTGCAGCCCCAGCTTGTCTGTGATCTTGGCCGCATTCATGGCGTTGGGGAGGTCCTGCTTGTTGGCGAACACCAGGAGGACAGCATCCCGGAGCTCGTCCTCAGCCAGCATCCTTGTGAGCTCCTCACGGGCCTCGTTCACGCGCTGTCATTGCTGTCCACCACGAAGATCAGGCCTTGTGTGTTCTGGAAGTAGTGGTGCCACAGAGGCCGGATCTTGTCCTGGCCACCCACGTCCCACACGGTGAAGCTGATGTTCTTGTACTCCACGGTTTCCACATTGAAGCCTATGGTGGGAGTGGCGGTCACGATCACCCAGCTTTAGCTTGTATAGGATCGTGGTCTTCCCCTCAGCATCCAAGCCCACCATGCAGATGTGCATTTCCTTTTTGCCAAAAAGGCCCTTGAAGAGGTTGGCAAAGATGTTCCCCATGTTAGTGGACAGGTGGAAGGACACTGGCCAGGGACACCTCAGCGGCTGCTGCTCTGCGCCAGGTGTTGGTTTCGCTCCCACCCCTTTTCTTTCTTAAGAGACGGCGTCTTGCTCTGTTGCCCAGGCCACAGTGCAGTGGTGTAATCATAGCTGACTGCAGCCTCGACCTACTGGGCTCAAGTGATCCTCATGCCTCAGCCGCTTCTATAGCTGGGACTCCAAGTGTGTGCCATCGTGCCTGGCTAACTTTTTAAAACAATTTTGTAGCCTGGGCGTGGTGGCTTTTACCTGTAATCCCAGCACTTTGGGAGGCCAAGGCAGGGGGATCACTTGAGGTCAGGAGTGTGAGACCAGCCTGGGCAACATGTTGAAACCTTGTCTCTACTAAAAATAAAAAATGTAACCAGGCCTGGTGGTGGGTGCCCATAATCCCAGCTACTTAGGAGGCTGAAGCAGAAGAATTGCTTGAACCCAGGAAGTGGAGGCTTCAGTGAGCTGAGATCATGCCACGGCACTTCAGCCTGGGCAACAGAGTGAAACTGTTGTTCAAAACCAAAATTTTTTGATGTGTGTAGAGGCAGGGGTCTTGCCATGTTCCCAGGCTGGTCTCCAACTTCTGGCCCTAAGCAATCCTCCCAGCTTGGCCTTTTAAAGGGCTGGGATTACAGGCATGAGCCTCTGTGCCCAGCCCTTGGAATACTTTCTTGTTATCTATTTCTTTGTTATTTTTTGAGACAGTCTTGTTCTGTCGCCCAGGCTGCAGTGCAGTTGTGCAATCTTGGCTCACTGCAATCTCTGCCTCCTGGATTCAAGTGACTGTGTCTCAGCCTTCTGAGTATCTGGGATTATAAGCATGTGCCACCACACCCAGCTAATTATTTTTTTTAATACTAGCTGGATTGAGGGCAGGATGGTCTCAATCTCCTGACCTTGTGATCCGCCCACCTTGGCCTCCGAAGGTGCTGGGATTACAGGTGCCACTGCGCCTGGCCTCTAATTTTTGTACTTTTTGTAGAGAAGGGGTTTCACCATGTTGGCCAGGCTGGTCTGGAAATCCTGGCCTTAGGTGCTCCACCCACTTCAGCCTCCCATGACCTACCATGCCTGGCCTTGTTTTTTTCTTCATGCAATCCTTTCTTAATGGAGGTGTTTTATAGATGTTAGCTCCCATTGAACTTTTCTGTGTGGTGAGTTAACAGTGGTATCCTAGACAAAAATTCCTAGTAAAGTCTCTATGAAAAGATGTGAGCATGTCAAAAGCACCATTTTATGCACAATTTAGGTCAACTGCAGAGCATTCTCATCTACTCGTCAAAGCTCCTAAGAGTCTACTTTGCTGGTCTGAGCATCATACTCACTTAAATTTCTGCAGTATCTTATCAGGGGCCTGTGTTTACCCACCTCTATTTATTATCAAATGTATACAAGTAATGCAGGTGAATTTAACCCAAAACATCCATATATCAATGAGGGTGCAATGTTTTCATGGTCTGAGGTGAAGAGACGTTCTTCTCATGCCTGCATGCCACTGCACATCTGTTACAGCACTGTGGCTGCAGCCTCTGCTTCCTGGCACACACTGTCCTGGCCTAAGAACTTCTTGGTAGCAAAATGGCCACCAATGTGCAATCGTCTCCTTAATGAAAGGTGTTTTTTTCTTTTTTTTTTTAGAGACAGGGTCTCACTATGTTGCCCAGGCTGGAGTACAGTGGCTATTCACAGGTGCCATCCCACTACTGATTAGCACGGGAATTTTGACCTGCTCTGTTTCTGACCTGTGCCAGTTCACCCCTCCTTAGGCAACCTGGTAGTCCCCCGCTCCTGGGAGGTCACCATATTGATGCCGAACTTAGTGCGGACACCCGAATGGCATAGCACACTACAGCCCAGAACTCCTGGGCTCAAGTGATCCTCCCATCTCAGCCTCCCTAGTAACTGGGACTACAAGCACATGCCACCATGCCTGGCAATGAAAGATGTGTTTTAAAAACAGTTAGCAGCCAGGCGCGGTGGCTCACGCCTATAATCTGAGCACTTTGGGAGGCCGAGGCAGGTGGATCACCTAAGGCCAGGAGTTCGAGACCAGCCTGACCAACATGGTGAAACATTTTGGGAAAAAAAAAAAAACCAGTAGCTTATTTCACCATGGAGTACTCAAAGCATGTTTTGACTCAGACAAAATCTTTGGTTCCATTTTATAGTAATCAAAAAGACTAGGTGTGGTGGCTCATGCCTATAATCCCAGCACTTTGGGAGACCAAGGTGGGCAAATCACTTGAGATTGGGAGTTTGAGACCAGCCTGGCCAACATGGTGAAACCCTGCCTCTACTAAAAATACGAAAATTAGCTGGGCGTGGTGGCTTACACCTCTAGTTCCAGCTACTCGGGAGGCTGAGGCAGGAGAATCGCTTAAACTCGGGAGGTGGAGGCTGCATTGAGCCAAAATAACACCACTGCGCTCCAGCTAGGGTGACAGAGAGACTTTGTCTCAAAAAGAAACCACCACCATCAAAAAAACAAACAAACAACAAAAAAAACAGAAGACAGTTACATGTCTTCAATCTGAGCACTTTTTTTTTTTTTTTTGAGACACAGGGTTTCTCCATGTTGGTCAGTCTGGTCTCAAACTCCCGATCTCAGGTGATCTGCCCGCCTTGGCCTCCCAAAGTGCTGGGATTACAGGCGAGAGCTACCGCGCCCGGCCAATCTGAGGTCTTAAAAGAAGCCTCTCCCTGCCACATTACACAGGGGCAGCTCATTCTGTTTTTAACATGTGATGATTTCAAAGACAGCATCGAACACATGCTCTGTAGAGACAAACTCCACTGGGCATCTGCAATCTTTTTTTTTTTTTTTTCTTTTGAGATGGAGTCTCGCTCTGTCAGCCAGGCTGGAGTGCAATGGTGCGAACTCGGCTCACTACAACTGCCGCCTCTGGATTCAAGCAATTCTCCTACCTCAGCCTCCTGAGTAGCTGGGACTACAAGCAAGTGCCACCATGCCCAGGTAATTTTTTGTATTTTTAGTACAGCCAGGGTTTCACTGTGTTAGCCAGGATGGTCTTGATCTCCTGACCTTGTGACCTGCCCTCCTTGGTCTCCCAAAGTGCTGGGATTACAGGTGTGAGCCAGCGCACCTGGATTATTATTATTATTATTATTATTATTTTTTTGAGTCTCGCTCTGTCATCCAGGCCGGAATGCAGTGGTGTATCAGCTCACTGCAAACTCCACCTCTCAGGTTCAAGCAATTCTCCCGCCTCAGCCTCCTGAGTAGCTAGGACTATAGGCGCTTGCCATCACCCCCAGCTAATTTTTTGTATTTCATAGAGACAGGGTTTCACCATATTGGCTAGGTTGGTCTCCAACTCCAGACCTCGTGATCCATTCACTTCGGCCTCCCAAAGTGCTAGGATTACAATCGTAAGCCACTGCTCCCGGCCCGTATCTGCAAGCTTATAAGGACGAACTGTTGAGCTAACTCTAAGTCATTAGCCAAGCTGAACCATCTTTGAATCCAAGTCGTTTTACCAGTTTTTATTATAAACACCATCACATTTCAAGTTTCCTCTTTTTGATCACAAATATAGGACTTTTTCTTCTCCTCTTAAGTATACAGCATGAGACACAGCGTTGGGGCTTTCCAGCTTTCTTACAGATATTTCCTTAGACAAGCTTAGGGTTAGCATCCACATCCTTCGACATCTGGATTGCCCAAGATGGTTGCATGGGATGTAGCCTCCGAAAGGAATGAGGTTGGTACATAAAGTTTTGAATTCCACGGTAACCTGAAACAGAGGCCCCTCCACTGCCCACATTAAAAGGCTGCACAACCAGGAGGGTGCTACTTTCTGAGTGTGGGCTTAGAGATGCTGCTCCTGGGCTCCAGCCCACTTCTTGTTTGAACACGTGGCTCAAGGCTTCCCCATGGGTGGAAAAGGTGAAGAGGATCATGGAGGTGTAAGAACCCAGCAGGCTGAGTAGGGGTAGCAATCTCCACTGGAGGCCGGGCCTGTGTTGCCCTCCTGGGATGCGGTGAATGGGGGCTGGCTGGAGGTGCCAGATGGTGGTCTTTTGCCTGGTTTAATTATTTTACATTTTATAACTCAAGATTCAAAGCTGTATGGTAAAAGCTAGATTGGACCTTTCCAATTTCTTAGAAAGATTCCTTGAATTTAGATTCACAAATCAAGTATTCAAGTATTTTAAAAATATCTGTGACGGTAAGGGCCCAAATGGAAGCTATTTGGGCCATGATTTCTAAATTTACCATTACCCCCCACCTAGAGCACTCTTTGGCTGGTGGACTAGGGATAAAGTGAGTTCTCTGGGTGTCAGGGGCGGCAGACTAGGGGATAAACTTCAGCTCTCCCAACGATGGTCCTCCTTTGTTTTGCGGTTTTTGTGAACTGGTCTCACCCACTCAGTAAGGGGGCCTGAACTGGACTCCAAGGGAATTGGGACCATGTAGCCGAGTCCAAGTGTCTTTCAAAGTGGGGGACCTTTCTTACTGTAACAGGAACTGGAGCTGGTGCTCCAACATGTCTGCCCCTCAGCATTTTTCTCCAAGGCCACATAGGACAGGCTGCATGGTGGTGGCAGGATGTTGGGGAGTCAGGAAGCACCTTTCGAGCCTGGAGCACCCTCTGTCTCAAATTCTGGGAGTTGTGTATGTGGGGAGCTGCCTGAATATGGGAGGAAGCCCTGCTTCTGGGGGCGCAGCTATGACGGGCACGGAGGATGGAGGAGTGGGCCAAGTGCAGTTTCAGACCAACTGGTGACCCTAACTGTGTTACATTCACCTGTGAGCCTCGAATGTGTGGGGCCAACACTGAGCCACCCACCTCAGTCTCTGGGAATAAACCCTCCAGGTGGCCGCTAAGCCTGGGCCACAGTTCCCAGCCGCCACCCATGCCACCACGACCACAACCGCAGCCCCAGCCTCTCCGCTATGAGCGAACAACCAGAACCATGTCTTACAAAGAACAGACTCCAAAAATATATATAAATAAATAAAAACCTTAAACATTCTTACAGGGATCTTAAAGAACAGAATACATGTTAAAAACCTCAGTAATTTATATCAATTTTAAGCGGTACTTTATATACAATGGGGAAAAAACACATGCATAGTCCAAATACAATGTTGAAAACAGCATTTTCATAACAAAAAACCCCGAACACTAAGTGTTAATACCATGTACATGAATTCAAGAAGGACCACCCTTTTTGTCTGTTGCACACAGTTTATTTAACAATATGATATAAGAAATGAGTTGGTATTTTACCATTCTATACAGTGATTGAATCTTCTCGAGTTTCGTATTTATAGTAATTAGAGCGCTTGCATGATTTACACTAGAATTGCTTTTCCTCATTTCAAGTTTCACATAGAAGAAAGAAAAGAAGGCTTCTTCTCTAGTAACATTAGCATGGTCTAAGAGTGATCATCCCTATTTTTTGTCTAAAACCAGTTTTATCAGAGAAACAAAGCAACAATTTCTACATCTGCAAGACAAGAGTTTGGCTTCAGCCATTATGTATAGATAGATGTGTGTGGGTGTGAGTACGTGTGTGTGCACGCCGGAGTCAATTCCTATCGTCCAGGGGTAATACTGGGAAACGCCCACAGAGTTCACTATAGAAAAAAAATCTTCCCGAAACATCAGAAAGTTATCGGGATACATTATAAGCTTGCATTATTTCAGGAATCAGTTCTGAATATTATTTTTCTTCTTACTTTTAAACATAAATGTTTAAAGTCTTGAAAATACAAATAAAAAATATGAATATAATGAACTTGTTTTTCCCATTAAAAAAAGGCATGAGTCACCAGCAATGACGACAAAAAGAATTCAAACAAACCCCCCTCCCCCCAAAACAAAAACAAAACGGAAATCCCCCCCCAAAAAAAAACCAAAGAGAGAGAGAGAGAGAGACCAGATATTTTAAATCAACTGGTTTTTAACAAAAAAATATATTCTTTGTATTGTTTCTTTAAACATCAATCCACCCTTCCATGGCTTGGAAGTTGCAGTTCCATCTAGGAATAAAAAGAACCTAGATGCCTGAATTTTCAGTACAAAAGGTCCAAGGACATGAAAGGGAAAAAAAGTGATGCTCTCACAATGCTACAAGCCCTCCACAAACTTCTCTAGCGTGTCCCCCGTGGTGTCCCCGACCAGGGACAGTTCGCTGGACAGCGTGCTCCTGCTGGGGGTGTTCAGTTGGGGGAGCATTGCACTCTGTTCGGGGTTCCCCAAGTGTCCCTGATCTATGGAGCTGGCCATAGTAACTGCAAGTCCGGGGTGGGGGGAACCAGTCTGGGGTGAGACGTGGTGTGGCGAAGGCTGGGGCTGTATCCGTGGTGACGGGCTGGAATGTGGAGGCTGGGACTGGGGCCGAGGAGACTGGACAGGGGCTGGAGACCGCACCTGGTTACTAAGGGATGTGGCGATCTGCTGGCCAGGGAGATGCGAGGCCTGTGGCTGTCCTGAGAGCATGTGTTGCTGGGGGCTCATGGGATTCGGCTGGCCTGGGGACCCAATCTGCTGCTTCATCTGCTGCTGCTGCAGAATCCGCTGCTGCAGGGCTTGCTGGATGTTGGGGGTGCTGTCTGCCCCCATCCCTGGCTGCCCCATCTGGCTGAGCTGTCCCATCTGGGCCGCCATCTGGCCCATGGAGCTGCCCTGGAGGGGGAGATGCTGCTGCATGCGCTGCTGCTGCTGCATGGCTGGCGGGTAGCCTCCAGGTCCTTGAGGCTGCTGGAACTGGCCGTGCCCTGCCATGCCCCCAGCCATGCCAGCATTCCCTTGTTGCTGCTGCTGCTGTTGCTGCTGCTGCTGCTGCTGTTGCTGCTGCTGCTGCAGCAGCTGCCTCCGTAACATTTCTCGGTACTGTGGATTCATACTCGCCATGTTGGGGTTGTGTCCTGGGTTCATGATGTTCAGGGCCTGGCCCTGGGGGTTCAGGCCTCCCATTGCCTGTTGCTGTGGAGGCACACCAGGCCGCGGCACGCCAGCCTGCATGGCGTTCAGGTTCTGCAGGCTGGGCTGCTGGTGTATGCCGGGCTGGGGCTGCATGCCGGGCTGGGGCTGCATGCCGGGCTGGGACTGGAGGCCAGGCTGGGGCTGCATGCCAGGCTGATTGGCCACATACTTGGCTGTGCGCTGTTTGATGAAAGCTGCCATTAGCTGCGGGTTTGACTTGAGAATGTTCAGGACCTGCTGCTGCTGCTGAGGGGAGCTGGGTGACTTCAGGGTCCGTAGCAGGTCTTGCAGGGCGCTGGGGGAGATGCTTCTGGGTGGCTGCACGCTGGGCATCCGGGGCCCGGCCACAGCCGCCTGGGCCTGCATGGACATCACAGGCCTGGGCATGCCTGGCATTGGCTGCTGCTGGGGAAGGGGTGCCTGTTGCCACTGGCCAGGAGGCATGCTGGGCATGACGGGCCCGCTCACCTGGTTGGGTCGGGGCACGTTCAGGCTCACGGGGGCCATCTGGCTTCCTGGGGTCCCCATGCCCGTGCGCCCTGGGGGCATGCCGTTGTTGATATTCACCCGGTACAGGTGCTGCTGCTGCTGGGCCTCACGCTCAATCTGCCGAGCCGCTTCCACCGCTGCAGGTGGAGGCTGGGCAGGGGGTGGGGGTGCTGGCACCTGGCTGGTGGGCTTCCCTGCAGACACCGTGGTGGGGGGCTGAGTCCGGGCCACGCTGGGGAAGCCAGCTGGTGACATGCTCACGGGTGAGGGCTGGGGCTGGGCAGGGGGCTGCGGTGTCTGGGGCGTGCTGGGCTGCTGCGTGGGGGTCCCAGGTGGTGCTGAGGTAGGAGAAGGCAGACTCTGCTGAGGCACGTTGCGGGTGTTCATGGTGGCCATCCGCCGGCGCATGAGCTGGGCCTGCTGCAGGCGGTGCTGGATCTGCTGTTGGCGGAGCTTGTGTTTGATGTTGAGGCAGAAGGGCACGGGGCATTTGTTTTCTTGGCAGTGCTTGGCGTGGTAGCAGCAGAGGGCGATGAGCTGCTTGCACACCGGGCAGCCCCCATTGGTCTTGCGCTTACAGCCCTTGGTGTGCTGCACCACCCGCTTCATCTTCTGGCAGGACGGCAGCGAGCAGTTGGCGTTGCGGCACTGGCATGCGTGCACCAGCGACTGGATGCAGCGCTGGATGCTCAGCCGGCGGGACTCCTGGGGGCTCTTTGACTGTGGCTCGCCCTGGCTGCTGCCCTCGTCGTCCAGGCCCAGCCCCCACTTCACCATCTTATGGGCATGGCTCTTCGTGTTATAGCAGTTGATGCAGAGGTCGTAGTCCTGCAAACAAGAAAAGGGGACAGGCTAGTGTCAGCATGGGGCCCAACACCAGGCACCCTGGCTGTTTCCCTCCACCACTAGGTCTGGGTCTGTGCCAAGAGACCCAGACAGGTGACCCAGACAGGATGGAAGCATGGACAGGACAGGAGCATGGGCCGTGTACATGCTGCTCCCAAAGACCTTGACTCCTGGGAACAGCCCTGAAGGCTCAAAGATAACCAGACTTATGCCCTGAGACCCCTCAGCCTGTGAGTTCATGGACAGTAGACACCAGCCCCCTTTCCTTCTGGCCTCCTGTGCCCAGGGAGTCACACTGCCCCCTGCCACGGCCTGTCCTGCTTCTGTACCTGGACTGTGAAGCCTGACAATGAAAGGCCGAGGGAGGCTAGTCCCTCCCAAAGCACCGACAGCTGCCATGAAGCGCCTCTGGGAAGGCCTGGGCTACCCTACCCATAGCTCGCCAGTGGGCTTTCCCCAATGTGGAAGCTGAAGTTACTGAAAACTGCTTGCACCTGGCAACCTGACGGAGCCCTAGAACCAGGTACTAATTCTGTGTTCATAGAAAGAGGTTAAAAACTGCTGCATGCAACTAGAAAGAGGACAAAGGAGACTGGAGAAAGCTGGAGTGCGGAAGAGAGGCGTAAGAAGGTACAGAGAGAAGAAAGGCCCTCACTCGGCTGAGGACCCGCTCTGCCCGTCTACAGACACCACAGCAAGTGAGTGGGCTCCGGGGTGGCAGGTGACGGTGACTGTCCTGGGAGGGGAATGGTGGTGGGGTCTGTCACCTACCTGAGCCCATGCAAGGGACACCCATGCAAGGTACCAGAGGGGCCCAAGCTACCAAGAGGACAGCGGGTGTTCCTAGCCATTTAGCAAGACCAGAACTGGGCATAGACAGGCCAGACTTCCCAGCAAAGCCTTCCTCTGGCTGTCCCCAGGGTCAGGCCTGCCGCACTGCCAGGCCTGTGGACATGGCTACACAGAGCAGTTTTAGGAAACACAAACATGGCAATGCCTTCTGCCTTGTGACACTGTCCTAGTTCCAGAGGACTCAACGCAGCCGCCATCAGGTAAAGACACCGACCCCAGCACCCGTGCAAAGGGACGGATGCTTCATCAGCCCCGGGGCCGGCCGCGGGGCCTACCTCGCACACAGTGCAGTGCCAGCGCGTCTCCACGTGGTGCTTGCACTCGTTGCAGGTGTAGACGAAGCGGTCCTGGCCCTGGGTGTGCAGCTCCACCAGCATACACAGCGTGGACCACTTGGAGCGGCGCAAGGAGGAGAACTCCCAGTGCTTGTCTCTGGCCAGGGTGAGGAAGGCGTCTCGCCCGTCCATGAGGTCACAGCTAAGCAGGGGGTCAGGGTCGACGATGGGGGGCAAGGTGTTGATGACAGGCCCGGCGTGCAGATGGATCACGAAGAAGACCTGCAGGAGAGGAAGGGATTTAGTCTCACACAGGGGACGTGGCACCTCTGGTGGTAAGCTTAGGGCAGGTGCAGCCAAGCCAACCTGCAGGATAGGCACGTGGCTGAGCCTGTTGGCCCTGATGCTTTGGGATGGAACAGAATTGGTGACATGTTGCATGACATCAACTAACTGGTCCACTTGGTCTCCTGAGGGCCACCTCCATCCCACCATAGATCTGCACGGGGCCCACGACTGCCAGCTGCACGTCTTTCCCTGCTCTGGGCTGGAGGCAGGGCTGCAACACCACACCCCGCGCCCACCTCCTTGTGCTTCTCCATGGTGGCATAGAGCTTCTGGGACAGGTCATTGGACACATTGGGCATGCTGGGCTTCTTCTTGTTGGCGCGGCTGATGCTGCTTTTGTTCTTGTTGGTCTTCTTATTGTTCTTCTTCTTGGCATTCTTGCTGTCGCCCTGACTGCCCTGCAATAACAGGCAAGGTTGTGAGACCAGGCAAGTGCTCCTCCACATCTGGCATGGACTCCCAGCTCCAGGGCCGTGGGTGTCAGGAAGCTCAGGCCAAAGCAGGTCACCACCAGGCAGACCCCACACGTGCACAGCCACAGGCAGCTATAGATGCTGCTGCCTTCAGGACAGAGCCGGGCCTGTCCTCAGACAGTGCTGGTGTCACTATAAGCTTTATGCTATGTTGCCTTTTGAGGGGAAAACAGACCCAGAGTGTGAGTTCAAAAATGAATTAATTACAGCAGTAGGGGGCATTTCCACTGTGCCACAACCATACATGGAAGATTCCACATCACAACTGTGGTCAGCCTTGAGGAGGGCTCCACACACCTGAGAAAGCATGAGAGCTTCCAGGAGACAGGAAAGCTGTTCACGGCAGAAGCAGCTGCCCTGGCAAGAGCAGGGACTCTGAGGCTCCTGCAGGGTCCATTCAAGGCCCACCAAGGGCGGGCCAGCTCCCTGCCAGGGCCATCAGTGTTACACCTGACTGGCTGAAGTTGTGATTGCTCTCAGCCCACAGGCTCCTCCTCTGGAAAAATGCAGGCTTGCTACTCATTACACTTCAACAGAGAAAACTCAACTAGGTCCAGACACCTTTTTTTTGGTGCAGTGGTACAATCTTGGGTTCAAGTGATTCTCCCAACCCAGCCTCCCGAGTAGCTGGGATTATAGGCATGCACCACCACACCCAGCTAATTTTTCTATTTTTAGTAGAGACAGTGTTTCACCATGTTGGTCACGCTGGTCTTAAACTCCGTTAACCTCAGAGAATCTTAGTGTTCAAAGATGGGTGTCAGTCCAGGGACAATCCAATAACTCTGCCCAACTGACAAGAAGCTGAAGGAGCCAAAATGTCATGCAAGATCCTCTGTGAGATTCAGGGACAGAAAAGGAACATGAGAAGAAAACTGAGAAAACAGGAACAAAGTGTGGACTTTAGTTAATAATAATGCATCAATAAATGGCTCACCAGGGCAGCAAATGTGCCACACAAAGGTAAGACATTAGTAACAGGAGAAACTGGGCGCTAGAATTACAGTGGAACTCTGCTCAATTTCTGTGTCAGCCCTAAAACAAAAGAAGTCTTTTTTTTTTTTTTTTTTT